GGGGATCAGAGCTCTCATGAGTGTCATAAGCCAGACCTAACGCTAACCTGTCATGTTGACACTCCAAACTTAGTAGTCCACGCCCTCTTAGATTACGGGGAAAGTATAGGCGTTGGACAGAAGATCGCGAATGATGACTTCGATGTAATGTCATCGTTTTCCTCGTGATCATGTCCAGATCTTCAAGCTCTTTTCGGAGCCATTTGAAAACTCCAAATAAGTATATCAAGACTCTCCAGCATCCAGATGTTTTATGATGCTCCCCTCTGTAAGCTCGACATTATCACTCTAGTTCGGCGATCTTTCTTTTACTAAGTAGGTAACTGCGCACTTGCCCAACCCAAACTCCATGCCGATTGCACTGGTATACTCAGACACAACCTCTAGGGCTGCTCGGAGTCTCTCACGACTTGCCGCGTACACGTTCAAGTCATCCATATAGAATAGATGTGTGACTTCGTATACGCGGTTGGAGACTCGTCCGGCTTTATATCCAGGCGTTTGGCGTAGAGTAACAGATAATGTCAGCAGTCAGATGCAAAATAGAAGAGGACTCAGGGTATCTCCCTAGTACTCGCCTTACCTAAATGGCACTGCTCTGGTAGACACTTTCGTTTCACCAGATGTTACGGTAAAACGTGTCCTCCAGAGCGGCATAACATGTTCGAAGCATCTCACTATTTGTGGGGGTACTGAAAGGCATTCGAGCAAGTAGAGGAGAAGCTCGTCTGATGTTGTGTCGAATGTCTTTCTGTGATCCACCCAGGCCATTGACAAGTTGCGCTTGTAGTAGTGCTTCAAGTTCTTTTTGCAACCCGTGAAGCCACGCTTGCTGCCACGTTGTTCATTTATCTGTCTCCATACAGGTTCCATTGCAGTCAAAATCCTCTCGTTTAAGATCTTCGTAAACAATTCGTAGAAAGTATTCAGACATGCAGTAGGCCTGTAGTTCTTGGGGTTAGATAGATCACCACTTTTGGCGATCAGCACAGTCTACCCTTCAACGAGTCATTCAGAAATGGGCGTATCTCCTCCTAGATATTCCGAGAAGATACGAGCCAGATATTGGTGAGATGATGTCAATTTCTTCCACCAGAAGGTGGGCATTGCATCTGGCCCAGGGGCAGCCTGGTTCTTTGTGCCCTTTAGAGCATTCCGGACCTCATCAATGCTGACTCGTTGAAACTCTTCCGGAATTCGTGATAGATGTTCGTCACAGAATTCTCTGAAAAGTTATTATCACTAGTATTATTATTATCATTATTATTATTATTATCATTAGTAATTGAATTCCTTGTTTCTCAGAATAAATTTGGAGTCTTTTTCCGACTTTCCTCGAAAGGCTTATACAAACGAATTTAATCACTGTTCAACTTTTTTCCAACCGATTTAACCTAATCTCTAGAACTCAAAGTCCTTTATCAGTACCGTCTTCGACACAATCGGCATATTGAGTTCTCCTTCCAGCTCGAGTCTGCCTGCGACTTGGAATCTTTGGCATGATTTTTTTCCCAATATTCTTTAAAATTCACAAACTAACAATGTTCACGGCGCGCGAAACGAAGAACTGTCTGACACCAATGTAAAATGAGACCAAATAACAATTTTGGAGCATAAATAAATAAAGGAAAAGTTTATTTAAGAATGACAGCAATTAATTATAATGAAAGAATCCGTGCGGTCAACTCAAGTCTTAGTCAAATACTCGAGATATACAAACTGTCATTAGATGGCGATATAAAAATATTTTACCATATTTAGTACACCTATTGCCTTAGAAAAATATCTTTACAACCGACAGACGACGAATATTTCTGAATATTATTGTTTTATATCAATCACAACTTTTCTTCGCAAATATTGTTGAAAAACTACTAGCAAGAATGGAAGATTTTCAAGGTCAAGATTCTGGTTGGTCACTTGTAGAAATTGAATATCTGCGAGTCAATATTAATTTTTATTAATCTATGTCAGCTGGATAATCTACATTTGTATTTGCACCAAAATTTATATGAAAAAAGCAGTATTTAATATTGTGTACAATAAAGAATGCTGTTTTTTTATACCATTGCTCCAAGACGTTATCCAGCTGAAAATAATGCTACATAAACCAATAAATATTTTTATCATGAAAATTTACTAAATCGTGAAGGTATCAACTGTTACACAACTTTTTATGTGTAACTATACATGAATTTCCTAAACACTGTAGAAGAATTCTGTGTCATGAACGCTTGTTCAATGATGTAAAGTAAGATTAATTTTTCGACTATTTGATGTTCACCTTGTTTTTAGAGAAGCTATTAAACTGCAAAAAAAGCCATGATTTTTTACCCGTACTGCATGGACTTAGCAAACTTCTATAGAACATACAGTAGAAGAAAATTCTAATTTACATGTAATTGAATCTATAAAATTAATCCACCGTTTCTTTCAAATAAAATTCACATGATTATCAGAATTGACTAATTCGCATATCATAAAATTCAATTTTTTGTATTTTTCTTTTGAATATTTCATGCTACAATGGAACAGTTTGTTCAATACAATAGTCAATTCAAAAATGATTTATAAACACGCTTAATTTCAAAATTCATTTGAATTTAAAAATTTTGCTAAAATTCAGCACTCATACGCTATCTCGGAGAATTATGAAGTTTTATTTATTTTACGCACTTATCATCGGTTAATTTAATATCGACCATAGGGTATTTCCGATTTAATTGTATAGTAAGAGTGACCTTTCTCTATTTTTTAATTTATAAAAGCTCGGATAACGACTTAATGTAGAGGAATTACTTTTCTAGCTATTGCACAATGTCGCCGTCTCGCGCTCCTAAATAAAAAAGATCGGTAACAGTTACCAACAATAGATTAGAGAATATATTGGCTTTCGCTTGCCGCACGAACATGTGCCTGAGACTTGAGTATATTGGTGTGAATTCGTTTCAATGAATGTAAATGTATTAATATTTCTTTGCGATAAAATGAAAATATATTGAATTTAGACTTAAAACTACGTGAAGGACGTTAGAAAGTAACATCTTGATAATAATAAACGTTAAAATAGATACAAAAATCCTGAAATATCTCAGATTCACTTGCTATGTAAATATTTGCAACTGTTTTAGTGTAAGGACTACGTACACATCTTCTGCACTCAAGTCCTAAATTTCCATGATTTTTTGCGATTTATTCGTCCTTACTTAAAGTCCTGTGTCTACGTATTAGAAACTGTGATGCTGGAATGAAGCCAGCAGCCGTTTTGTTGAAAAATAACGGAATAAACAATTTGCATAGATAACAAATAGCCTGTTGTACTCCTGATACTCTCCTGCTCACTTTTGAAAGTATTTATTGGAACATTGGACTGACAGGGAAACTGACATACAAAAATTTCAACAATTACAATTAATCATTTACGTTTCAACAGTGTGCAAGTAACCCTCCGCACATTGTTTGAATTACATCCACTTCTTTTTAAATTACACACAGACGCGCTAATCTTATTTACATCGATTAGTGTTTTTCATAAAAGTTAATTTTACAACAGAATCGGGGATACTTTACAAGATAATTAGAGATATATATAGATGCTTCTGGTTATTTTAAAAAGTTTTAAAATATTGTTAAAAATTTATGTAAAATCCCGAGAAATATCCGAATTATTGACAGCTTTCCACAATATTCAATTCGTTCCAATTTCAATTTTTTTCTAAAAAAATGTCCTGTAACTTTTAGACTTTACTACAAGATTGAAGAATACTTTTTTCGGGCGTTGCTCTTACCCTCGACTGAAGTCGGAGCATTTTTTTATGCGGAAATTTTTTCATTGTGTTCTGACTTGGTCGGGAGTATTCCATCCATATCCTGTCATTTTTCTCCCCACCTACTTATTAAACGTTCACGATAATCTATCATCAGAATACAATCCGAATGTGGCTCTTTTGCCTATCATGCCATCATCGATAGTTATAATTAGTGCAATGACAACCAACCAATATTTTTATGAAATCAACAAAAATTATATCATATAGTATTATGGATAATTGACAGACAGTAAATCTACATCAATATCCAGCTTACCAATAATTAACATTCTGTATTTACTCGTAGATCATATATGAATTTATCTTCATTGCCAGTCATTACTTTACAAAATTTAAGTTGTTTTATTATTTTAAGGTTCACTCAAAAAAATTCTGTTTATCTATGTATTATTTCTAGAAATATTCTTAAAAAGACACATTTATTTAGATGTTCTTGGCCAAGAAACATCGAGTTGTGGCCTGATTAAACTCACGAATTACTTACAACAATCAACAGCTCATCTGTTGAAAGAAACATTCATTGAGAACATACAAATGTTTGAATTGACGTTATGACTATGTGATCATATAGAACTATTGTTACAATCGTACGTTTATAGATTTATGAAGTTCCGTATCAGTAACATAGAATGAAATAGCAAATAATTAACAAACTTTATCGAAATAATTAACGACTGGCTTATTCTCATGACTTCGTCAACACAGATGCTATTCGATTGGTATAAACAATACTAAACTGTGAAGATTAATGCTCAAGAATTAGGAGCAATACTATTGTTCAGCTAATAAACAAAGTCTTTCATTTATTATAAGTGATCAATGTGGCATTACGACGTTACATGAAAAATTGATTAAGTAACATATTGGATAATAATTTTGAAATTCAAATTACTGAATACCGAATACACAATACTTCGTGAATTTGAAATTAAAAGGTGACGAATTTATGTGCATCAATAATAAACAAGAAAAACTTTCATTCTAATGTCTGATTCGATTCTTGCTCATTCGAACGAGATGCAATTGTTATGGAAAACATGCTTATTTTGAATCATGTTCCATAGCTAGTAATTTGTTAAAGAAATAGAAATAAAGGCAATTTTCTTAAAATTACAGAAAGACACTCTGATTCAATTTATTTTTACAATATAATTATGATAATACTTTCAGACGGCAGCAAGAAATCGAAGGATCTGGAGTGGAAAATCCTACTCTTATGAATGAGCTTCGAGCGTTACGACTGCGAAAAGATGAATTAGAATCACATTTATCAGCATTACAAGACTCAAGAAAGCAATTAATGATCCAATTAGAAAGCTTGATGAGAATGTTAAAAGTAAGTTAAAAAAAAAATGAACACATTTTAATTATAGTTTTTTATTTTTGTCATGACCAATTTCAATGGTTTTTATTAAAGAATCATCAATCATCACCACAATCGACACCAAATAGTTCACCACGAAGCATTAAATCTCCCTCATTACAATTGAATGGAATGACTAATAGTAAATCTGCGCCAGCAACACCTGGTGGATCACTTACGAACTCTATGCTCCAGCATCAGCCGAAAAATTCTCAATTAAACAAGTTGGATGACACGAACATATTTCAATATTACACCAAATCGACATCTAATCCTGCTTCAATAAATGCAGCTGTATCAAGTGCATCTGTTAATACTCTCCCAGATAATTTAACATGCTTAGGAGGTGATGTCAGGTAAGTAAAATACGACTCACATTAAAAAAGAAATGGTATGAGGCTATTTGCAGTTCCCACAAATAGAACTTACTATAAGTCGATTCCAATTAATAGAGGGAAGAAAATGGCAAGAAAATACTTATTCATTTTGTCTTGGAATAAACGTAATTATAAATTTTTTTTAAAATACTCGCTTTAAAAATAATTTTTTCAAATAAATAATAATATATAATTTATATTTAAAAAAAAACCGTTCTATAACGATTTTCGGTGAATATTTGGCATTTTTACACTTCTGTCATAGAACATGTTTGTTGACTTATTTGCTACAAAAAATTATTACGACTTTTTATCGTAGAACTAACCGTTACCGATTTATCGATTTAAAACCTGTGCTAGTTTTGAATTTTTATTTCCTTCTTTGCAAATAAGAGAAAAGTAATTGACAGACAATATTTAAACTTTTTTCAGCTCTTTTTTTTGCAATTTTCTTTCAAATGGAATTAGCCTGAAGTTGATATCTCGATTATTCTCTGAGAAACCGAGAACGAAAAATATCCGAACGCCCGATCATTCCAATACCTCCTTTATGGGAAATTCATAATGTATGTAGAGAGTGCCAAAAGATTTTGGCTGCCAATTTTAAAATTTGGTTGAAAATCACGTTACTCATACTAACAGAATGTCAGACAGACGTTTTGGTGATAACATAAAAATAAGTAAAAGTTTTACAGACGAAATAAGTTTTTTCACGATTATACCTATTCTTTTATTTGTCGGCAAAAAAACTTGATGCTCTTTGTGTAAAGTAAAAGGCGAATTTTACGTTTGCAAAAAATACATGTGTTATTTCAATGCCCCATAGGTATAACTTGCAATTTGATGAGTAACGAACAGTTATTTTACACTGATAGTTATAAGATAATCCTATATTATTGATATGTATGGTATGCGAACGAAAAAAAAACTCTGGATTTCGGGAAAAGTCGGCACCAAGCTCTCTCATAATAACATTGTGAAATTCATAAACTGGTCCTAAAATTACTAGATTCTTTAAATTGAATTTTATACATAGTCTTCTCGTTATGGACTTTTTTTTAAATTGAGATAGCACTCCAACTTTGCGATATTATAGGTTTTGAATTTTTGCTAAATTAATATCATAACTCCATATCTAAAAACTCATTGGATGAATGTGTGTATAATCTAAATTTCATTATTACTTTCACTGAAAACTTAGTCTTGTGGACCGTTTAGGTCCCACTCAGACCAGTGAACACCACTGTGATTTTTTTCAAGATTTTTTAAGGTAAATAAAATCGGTTTAACATCTACAGTCAATTCATGAATTATCATATGAAAAAAATTTTCGTAGGTGAATTCAAAATATTTTAAAAATACCATTCCTTCATTCTTATTATTGCTCTTAAATAAAAAAATTGCGTGATTTTTTACTACACGTTCCCCTCATTTTTTAGCGCTAGAGAATCCAAAAATAAGCCGATTCGAAATTCTTCTTCCAAATCCTTATTTTACCGGTAAAATTATCGGGGTAATTATACAAAATATCTCACTCTAAGATTTCATATGGTTTAAAGACTTGGAATATTATCATTAACTCGGTTTTAAGAATACATCCATTTTGAACTTGTATGTAAGTCATCGGAAAATAAACTTGTAGAAGAAAAGTCATAGATAAATCATGCCCTAATGTTGTGCAAAATAGGAATTTTTTTATCTCTATATATTGTAAAATAAGACCAAATAACAACTTCGGAAAATAAATCAATAAAGGAAAAGTTTGATGAAGATTGACAGCAATTAATAAGGAAGAAAGAATCCGTGCGGTCAACTCAAGTCTCAAGTCAGACAAAAACTGGAGATAAACAAACTCTCCCCTCGTTGCTATAAACAATCTAATCGTCAAGCAATCGTCGTTAACTAACAAACTATCGTTAGTCTAATAGTCATTAGATCGCGACATACAAATATTTTACACTCCTCCTGATCTTCTAAAAATTGCCACCCGGCAATTCCTAGTAGTTAAGTAAAGTATTGGATTAAGCTGGAATTAAATTAAGCTTAAAATAAAACCTCGAACTTAATGAATTATGATTTAATTCAATATAATTTTAAAAATAACTAAAAGTAAAATTCAGCGTAGCTTCCAATACTGCCGCTCCTCAATTCTGTCTGCTAGAAAATAAATAAGAGAAATAATTAGGCGAAAAAAATCCTCCGGCGGGCAAAATCCTCCAAACAGACCAAAATCATCTGAATTAAACTAATATCGTGATACTATACAATAAAAGATTCATTAAAAAAACTAATCGTCCGTTAGTCAAATTAAAAATTAAAAATCTATATTTCCAACTTGAATTCCCTTTCCTTCCTTCTTTCTCATCAGGGAGAACCACTGGGAAGAATCATAGGAACCCAAAGAGTAGGAAATGCCAAGAACTGGCAGGTCATGCAACTAAACGAAATAAAAGTTCCTTACAGAATCATAGCAAAGTTCTTTTAAACAAATTTTATTATTTCATGGTTGAATTAATGTGCGATTAATAATTAGGTTAAATGGTCACATTCCATGTGAACAAAAGTAATAGGATACCATGAACATCTAGTACCTCACTTTGCTTCACTTAGGCCAATAAATAAAGAAAAGGATTCCGGTACAATGACTCCAACCGTGTATATCCTAAAGTAAATCCACGAAAACGGTCCAGGACAGACATTGTGAATTTAAATCAACAATCAAATGATCAATGAGAGTTAACGTTTTCAGACTGGCAGTTACAAAAACCCTGAATTCAACAGAAATTAGGCATTCAGAAAGAGTCAAAATAACTAATCATCTTAGTAAAAATTAGTCAAAAGTCTTCTTAGTAGAAGAAGTAAAAATTTATTTCTAGAGGAAGTTTTAGTAAGAGGACCAAGAATATCAATAACAAGCCTTCCACAAGGAGAACCAACATTTTGAATTTAAAGTTGACCACAAGATTTTCTATGAGGACCCTTTTTAGCGTAACCAACTTTGCATTTTTTTTACCAAATCTCAACATCTTGTTTAAGAGTTGCCCAGAAAAATCGTTGATAAATTTTTGAAATTGTTGTATTAATACCAAAATAACCACCAGAAGGGAAGTTATGAGCCTCATAAATTATTCCATTTACTTTAGCTCGAGAAATGACAAACTGGAAAAGAATATAAGAAAGATGTGGAGCTTCCCAACGTTTAAGTAAACACCATTTTTCAAATCTAAAGAATTTCAATAAAGTAAATAAATTCTAGAAGTAGAATCCAAATATAAAACATCATTAAACTCGGGAACTTTATTTTCCTTTTTGAATTTAATAAATAAATTTTACATTTAATAAAATTCAAAATTTTATCGTCATTTGGAAATTTAATTCAATCAGAATCATTGTTAATTTCACAAATGACACGGAAAATATGCCTACTATCACATTTTTTATCAGAATCTATTTCGAGACATTTTTTACAATCACATGGACACCGAGAAAGACCATCAGCATTGCCATGTTTATGACCAGGTCTATGTCGAACTTCAAAATCATATTGAAATAAGATTTCAAACCAACGAGCTATTTGATCTAGAAGATTTTTGAAAGAAAGTAACCAAGTGAGAGAAGCATGATCAGTTCTAATAGTAAACCTCTTACCAAGAAGCAAATGACAGAAATGTTCAACAGAAATAACGACATTTAATAATTCTTTCCATGTAACACAGTGGTTACGTTTATGATTATTTAAAGTTTTGCTAAAATAAGCAATAACTTTTTCTTCATAAACAGTCTCACCATTTCTATTAACTGGAATCTTCTGAGATAACACAGCACCAATGCCAACATTCGAAGCATCAGTATCAAGAATAAAAGCATAATTTGAATTAGGATAACCCAAAATTGGAGTAGAAGTCAAAATTTGTTTCAATTTTTAAAACGTTTGAAAAGCTAAATCATCCCCAATAAAATCTCCCTTTAAATAAAGAAGAATTAACAACTGTAATATCAGCAGCAGCATCAACTGTCATAATATATTTTTTGCCATTAACATCTCCTCTAAGTAAAAGATTCGGTTTAGAAGAACCAGAAGAATATTAAAATTCAATTGAATTAATTTTTAGTTTTGACGAAATTTTTTTTTTGATGAACCTTCATCAGTAGACTCATTAGAATTATGAATATTTGATAAACTAGCTTGAACAGCTTGAAGAACTTGACAATTCTTCTTAGAATGTCTTTTTTCACCACAAATCCAACATTGGAAAATTTGCGAAGAATTTTGATTTTGGGAATTTCATCTAAATTTTCCTTTAAACGAATTATTTTTATCATCTTTTTAAAAATTATTTCTTGAATTATTATTTTTATTGATATTATTTTTATTTTTACTAAAATTATTATTATTCTTATTATCAAATTCATTTTTATTCTGACCGCCAAAGGTCAAATCTTCAATCGACTCAAGCCCTAAAGCTCTCTGAGTTGCTAATCAAAGAGACTCAATTCTCTCCGAACGAAGAGAAAATTGTAACTCTGATTTTTTTAATCCAGAAATGAATTGCAAACCAGCAATTCTATTACTCTCATCAAAAAAGACCGAAGGATACGCAAATTTGACAAGTCATTCCAAATCATTTGAAACGTTTGTTAAATTTTTATTTTTAGACTGTGTTCTGGCCTAAAAACGACTAAAATAAGCTCTAGAAAATTGAGATTTACCAAAACGATTTTCCAAAATTTTCTTTAATTTTTGAAAATTCCCTAAATCTTCTAAACTTAAAGTTTCTAAAATAACTTGAACTTTGTCCTTTAAACAGGACACTAAAATCGATGCTTTTACTCCATCTTTCCACTTATGCAGACGAGCGATTGTCTCAAATTGACGGGAATACGATTCCTACGTCTGAGAACTATCAAATTTACCTAGTTTTGCAAAAGCTAACAAACTATTATTAATCGAAGAAGTTGAGACCGATTTATCAAAAGTA